TACACAACTTGTCCAAAACTCCAGCATCACCACAAAGTTTTTAAACAAACAATTTGACAATGTCTCTACAATCAGTAGCTGTAAGTGACAACTTTTTCCAGAAAATCTTCATTATCATAATACGGTGAAAAAAAAAATATCAAAGAACAAAAAACCCCCCAAAAAACATGTACAAAACAACAACAACCAAACAACGTTCATTTCAGATATGAATTACAAACAATAAGAACAGGGAAATTGTCATACTCTACACAACGAACATGACTATGTACAGAAATGTTTCTTAAAACGTTCAAACTAAACACAGCAAGAGCAAGCACCATACATACACACACACACACCCACCCACCCACACACACATATACATACACACACACACACACACACACCCACACCCCCACACACACACGACACAATGAGACAGACAAGGAAAAAGCAGACAGTTGTCCCCAGGGTCCACCACTTCTGGCACCATGTTCCCCGACACATTCAGACGACAACTTCCACAGCCAGACAGACCCTCCACGGCCTGGCATCAACTGACGTACTCACAAACAGCATTATACCAAGAGTGTTTTGCTGCAGCCATGTCCTTGGAACATTCCTGGGACAGTCAAGGAACCTCGGCACAGCTGACCAGCCCGCGTACAAAAACAGAAAACGGGGTGAGAGCAACATAGAGCTCGACGGAACGAAAGTGAGAGCAACGTAGAGCTAGATGGAACGAAAGAGCAAACCACAAAAGGAAGGAAGAGAGAAACATTGTTCAAAAAGCCTCAGCTTCCTCCTGCACGGTGTATTGACGACAAATCTCCCTCTCTGAAACAATGTGGTTCTCTGTCCCTGTGTCTCCACCACTCAGAAGACATTTCCGTGTCATCTTTTCCCCAAAGAAAAAAAGAAAGGAAGTGCGGATGTGAAGAAGTAAACCTAAAATAAACAACACCCAAACAATTTGTCCAAACACTTCCCTCCTCACCACAGCAAACACCAACAATACAACAGACGTCACCTCTTGACAGTGAATGGGTGTCTGTATATATATATATCCTCCTCACCACAGCAAACATCAACAATACAACAGACGTCACCTCTTGACAGTGAATGGGTGTCTGTATATATATATATATATATATCTCGTAGAAGTCTCCAGAAAAATCAGGACCTTCATTCTCAGCCCTAGTTTACAGGGTGAGTAAAAGTCAATGGAGTCATTTTGTCTGCGACAGTGACAATAGGCATATCACAAACATCTGTATGTACAGTAGGCAGATTCAAAAAGGCATTAACCTGGAGGCGTTTTTCACTAGAGTGCAACAGACCCGTCTTGGGGGACATACATGACAGTAGCTGAGACGTGCGGTCCGTGTGGCCGCGTTTTTCACTAGAGTGCAACAGACCCGTGTCTTGGGGGACATACATGACAGTAGCTGAGACGTGCGGTCCGTGTGGCCGCGTTTTTCACTAGAGTGCAACAGACCCGTGTCTTGGGGGACATACATGACAGTAGCTGAGACGTGCGGTCCGTGTG